GGGCGCGCCAGGAGGAGTCCTACTCCCACCGGGAGTAGGACTCCCCTCTTTCCTAGTTGGAATAGGATTCGGGAGAAGGAAAGAGAGAGGGGGAGAATGAAAGAGGGGGCCGACCCCCCTTGCCCTAAACCAATTTGGTTTGGGCCTTGGCGGGCGCGCCCCACACTCCCCTTGGTGCCCTCTGTTTCCACTAAGGCCCATGTAGGCCCATTAAGCCCCCGGGGGGTTCCGGTAACCTCCCGGTACTCCGGTAAAATCCCGATTTCACCCGGAACACTTCCGACATCCAAACATAGGCTTCCAATATATCAATCTTCATGTCTCGACCATTTCGAGACTTCTCGTCATGTTCTTGATCACATCCAGGGACTCCGAACAACCTTCGGTACATCAAAACATATAAACTCATAATATAATTGCCATTGTAACATTAAGCATGCGGACCCTACGGGTTCGAGAACTATGTAGACATGACCGAGACTCGTCTCCGGTCAATAACCAATAGCGGAACCTGGATGCTCATATTGGCTCCTACATATTCTACGAAGATCTTTATCGGTCAAACCGCATAACAACATACGTTGTTCCCTTTGTCATCGGTATGTTACTTGCCCGAGATTCGATCGTCGGTATCTCAATACCTAGTTCAATCTCGTTACCGGCAAGTCTCTTTACTCGTTCCGTAATGCATCATCCCACAACTAACCCATTAGTTGCAATGCTTGCAAGGCTTAAGTGATGTACATTACCGAGAGGGCCCAGAGATACCTCTCCGACAATCGGAGTGACAAATATCCTAATCTTGAAATACGCCAACCCAACAAGTACCTTTGGAGACACCTGTAGAGCACCTTTATAATCACCCAGTTATGTTGTGACGTTTGGTAGTACACAAAGTGTTCCTCCGGTAAACGGGAGTTGCATAATCTCATAGTCATAGGAACATGTATAAGTCATGAAGAAAGCAATAGGAGAATACTAAACGATCGTGTGCTAAGCTAACGGAATGGGTCATGTCAATCACATTATTCTCCTAATGATGTGACCCTGTTAATCAAATGACAACACATGTCTATGGTTAGGAAACATAACCATCTTTGATCAACGAACTAGTCAAGTAGAGGCATACTAGTGACAACCTGTTTGTCTATGTATTCACACATGTATTATGTTTCCGATTAATACAATTCTAGCATGAATAATAAACATTTATCATGATATAAGGAAATAAATAATAACTTTATTATTGCCTCTAGGGCATATATCATTCACCCCCTCCTTGTCCAATTCGGACTAGAGGGAGAGGGGGCGCGCGGCCTGCCATGGCCGCCCCTCCTCTTCTCCACTATGGACCAATAGGCCCATTACACTCCCCGGGGGGTTCCGGTAACCCCCCGGTACTCCGGTATTTGTCCGAACTTACCCGGAACCTTTCCGAAGTTCAAATATAGTCATCCAATATATCGATCTTTATGTCTCGACCATTTTGAGACTCCTCGTCATGTCAGTGATCATATCCGGGACTCCGAACTACCTTCGGCACATCAAAACACATAAACTCATAATACCGATCATCACCGAACGTTAAGCGTGCGGACCCTACGGGTTCGAGAACTATGTAGACATGACCGAGACTCGTCTCCGGTCAATAACCAATAGTGGAACCTGGATGCTCATATTGGCTCCTACATATTCTACGAAGATCTTTATCGGTCAAACCGCATAACGACGTACGTTGTTCCCTTTGTCATCGGTATGTTACTTGCCCGAGATTCGATTGTCGGTATCTCAATACCTAGTTCAATCTCGTTACCGGCAAGTCTCTTTACTCGTTCCGTAATACTACATCCCATAACTAACTCATTAGCTACATTTCTTGCAAGGCTTATTGTGATGTGCATTACCGAGAGGGCCTAAAGATACCTCTCCGACAATCGGAGTGAAAAATCCTAATCTCGATCTATGCCAACTCAACAAGTACCTTCGGAGACACCTATAGAGCACCTTTATAATCAGCCAGTTATGTTTTGACGTTTGGTAGCACACAAAGTGTTCCTCCGGTACTCAGGAGTTGCATAATCTCATAGTAATAGCAACATGTATAAGTCATGAAGAAAGCAATAGGAATATACTAAACGACAAATGCTATGCTAACGGAATGGGTCAAGTCAATCACATCATTCTCTAATGATGTGATCCCGTTAATCAAATGACAACTCATGTCTATGGCTAGGAAACTTAACCATCTTTGATTCAACGAGCTAGTCAGGTAGAGGCATACTAGTGACACTTTGTTTGTCTATGTATTCACACATGTACTAAGTTTCTGGTTAATACAATTCTAGCATGAATAATAAACATTTATCATGATATAAGGAAATCTAAATAACAACTTTATTATTGCCTTTAGGGCATATTTCCTTCAGGATATCCATCGGGTTTGGACATGGTCACAATTTTTCACCCGTGGATTTTTTTCATGGGCGGGTAAAGACTGTCTTCATGGATATGGATATGGATTTTATATTGTTCAACCCGATCCAAACCTGACCCATTGCCATCCTTAGTGTGTTGTATGGCATGGTAGAGGACTTCCATCACATCTTATTCTCGCGCATTATGGCGCAATTCATGTGGGGTAGAGACATTGTTGGCTGCTTTTGGGCACCGCCTTTGTTTGTGGACTTTCGTACCCTTAGTAGTATGCTATCAGGGACGACTCAACGGGTTACTTGGGTTGTCTTTACTACTATTTCTTGGGCGATGTGGCGTATTGAAAATGAAACCCTTATCGAGGGTATATTCATCGATCATCCTATTGACTGCCTATATAAAATGACAATTTTTCTGCAGCTCTCATGGTCACTCAACCAGAACCAGGATTTGTCGACCCTTGATGCACTCATTCAGCGTATACGTGACACGCTTCGACACCCAGGGTAGAGCGCCCTTGGGGTGCAGTCTGAGGGGCGTCGTTGTTGCCGATGGGTATCCACCATGTGTGTGTGCACGCGCCCATGTGTGAGTGCTTCAGCTCTTAAGAACACATGGTTGTGTTTGTATCATGGTGTGTGGATTGTGTTTTTTGCTCTTGAGCCTAACTTGTGCCTCTTCTTTTAAACCCTTATCCTATAAACCAGCATCATCTCAAGAAGGTCCCTCATTTCTATATCTACATGGGAATATCATTAGTCCATCTCGTGCGTACGAAACATGGCTCTCAACATGATGTCCAACCAGGTCATGCTAAAAGTCTAGTGATAGGCGCCAATCGACCGACGCTAGCCTCGGCCGGTCTCATCCCGCACCATACAATGCAACGTCTCCCACACGTAAGGTCTTCCTCCCTCACTTTGTCCCCACACATCGTTTCACCCCACCCCACTCCCCCACCCAAAAAAACATCATAACAACGCGCACGGGAGGGAGGTGATAGCGAGTGTCGTTGATCCCTGCCTGGGACATGCGCGTGCGCGCCCGACCTCGAAGCATCACCGCACCACCGGCTCGTTGCCTCTTGCCACCGTTCATCATTGCACCCAGCGTCACGCAGCACCCGCAATGTCGCGCTTGTAGAACGACCGAAGCCCGTTCCAGCATACATCGCCACTGATCCCAGCAAGCGAAGTCACCGGTTCTAGCATTCGGTGCGGTCTCCCAACAAATGATGTCATTGATTCCAGAATTGACATCGTCGCTCCCAATAATCGAAGTCACCAGTTCCAACAAATGGCATCCCATCGCAATATTCAGTGCCGCCATCCCAACAGTTGATGTTGTCGGTTCCAGCAATGGATTTTGTTGGTTCTAGCAATGGACGTTGCTAATCGCAACTTCGGCCGCCGCCGGTCATAGCAAAAGCTGTTGGTGGTTGCAGCAAAAATCCCTTGCAACACCCAACCACATTGGTTGCAGCTCCTCCAGGCGTTGGGCGCAACTCCGTGGTGCACCGGCCGCAGCATTGCAGTGCACGCTGGCCCGCAGCACCCGCCCATCGCCTGTAGCGTCTCCTCATGAATCACCGACAGAGGCTTGCAACTCGTGGTGAGAGATTGGATGGGGAGGGCGGCGTGCTTTGCGAGGGGAAAGGCATGCGCCAACACACACAAGGAAGGCTATGAGGAGTAGATGGTTGTGGCACACGGTGGGGGGTATATCGGGGAAAAAGCCGGCGGGGACATGGATTTGCGTGATGGTGAGAAAGAAAAGAGACGACGAGAACGAGCGGACTCGAAAGATAGAGAAGAATATTAGGGAACGTCCTGCCACGAGCGGGCCCCATAGCTACGTGGCGCAAAGCTCAAGGGACAAAGGATGCACACATGGAGGTGACCGACGACGGTCTCTGCAGGTCGGCCAATTTTAAACACTTTCCCTTGATAAATGTGACTTGTTGCCAGTTACTACTAAACAATACTTAATATGACAATAGAACAGAGTCAAAGAGAGCAGCGATTCGGTGCCCAGACTCATTTGCACCTGTGATGAAGAAAAAAATTCAAAACAAATACTAGAAAAAACAAAAAGAAATCTAATTGTTTTTATGGTAGATAATTTGATGCGTGAGGTGCGCTCCAAGTTCTAGATCATTTGGACATCTGAGTAACTCTCGGCAAAAACACAAATTTAGGATATGTAAAACGTTTACTGTTCATGTACTGTTTTAACCCAAATTTGTCTTTTTTTCTGAGAGCTACTCATATGTCCAAATGATCTGAAATTCAGAGCAAAAATTGGATTTTTTTTTTCTTTTGTATTTTGTGTGATTTTTTTTAACCGTGTGGAGCTAAGCCTGGGTTTAGAAATGATACTCCTATTCGAGATTCTAAGCTAAACTTGATACATGGCGTAAAGCTGAAGAGACAAAGGATGCACACATTCCCATGATAAATGTGACTTTTGCTGCCAATTACTACTACTAAACAATACTGAATATGACAATAGAACAGAGTCAAACCTAAACTTGCTAAAGAAAAATACAGTCAGTAGACAGACTCGAGTCACAACCTGGTGAGGACTACCCCTATCTGGACACTCTTGACCTCTTCCCTCTCCATGGACTCGGTGACCAGCTGCGTGTACTTGTGGAAGAGCGCGTCGACGATGTCCGGGCCGAAGTGGTGGCTGAGCATGGACTCCTGGATGGCCCTGATCGCCATGGACACCGTCCTGCCGTCCTCCTTGGCGTCGCCGCTGCTGCTCAGGTTGATCTCGTACGTCTGCACGTAGTCGAGGCTGAAGGACCCCTCCAGCCGCACCTCCACCTCCATCTCCTGCAGCGACGGCGCGTAGAACGGCACGTTGTACGCGTCCACCTTGTCCTGCTCCACCAGCCCCTGCGACACGAGCGCCGCGAAGGACTCCGAGAGGAGCTCCCACAGGAAGGTCGTCCTCCTGTCCACGCACTCGTCGCTCTGCCTGCCGAGCATGGCCAGCACCATCCGCCCGCCGGGGAAGACCTCGGCGGCGCGCGACTTGAGGAACAGGCTGAAGTCCCTCTGGAACTGCCTCCGGTAGGCCACGGACACGGCGGGCGGGCTCGTGCTCGATATGTACATTTTGCCCTTGTTGATCGGTGCCTTGGCCTCGTCGAAGAGGCCCGGCGGGACCTGGGAGAGCCAGTGCAGGCTGGAGCAGGAGCAGATGAAGTGCACGCTGGTCCTCGGGAACAGCCTCCCGTAGAAGGACCCGGGCACGCCGGACAGGAACACCATCGGCCGGCCCCACTCGTCGGACTTGGCGGCGGACTTGAGCCTGTGGGTGAACTCCGGCAGGCTGAAGAAGATGGTGTTGAAGTCGTTGGTGGGGAGGTCGTTGAGGAGCACCGAGAACTCGGGCGGCGGCTGCGACGACCGGCAGCAGACCTTGCCGACGCCCCCGATGATGTCCTCCACCAGGCAGAGCGCGTTGGGGCCCGAGGAGCACCCGAGGTCGGCCACTGTGAACCTCTCCGGCATCTGGGAGATGTACACGTCCGTCGCCGAGTTGACGATGAGGCTCTTAAGGGTGTCCATGCCCCTCTTCTGGAGCGAGGAGTTCTGCGCGTAGCTGCTCTCGTCGAGGCCTTCTTTCATGTGGAGGATGGTCTCCACGTCCATGAACGGGAGCTTGTCGGAGCAGTGGAGCAAAGAGGAAGCCATTGCCGGCTACTGTTGTGGTATAGTGGACAAGCTCGATCTCAAGTCTCGAGAATTGGTTGCCTTCTTTCCTGCGGTCATGTAATATACACGGTCAGAACTCTGGTTAATTGTGTAGTACATCCTCATTTTGCACAAATTATTACCCTGCCCCTGCCCACGGTGTAGGTGTAAACAAACAAATATTCTCGAGGCATCTGTTTAGGCCGCTTTGCCCAAAGAGAGCGTGATATGTCTAACTGAGATATCCTTTTTGGCTTGGTTTGGTGTGACTGATTGAGAAGCCAGGTTCAGATAAAAGTACAATACTGTCAAGCTTTCAGTACATGAGTCTGCGATTCGCTGTTATCATATCATGCATGGCCCTAGATTTGACCATCATCAGGTGAAACCAAGTGAAAGTGTGGCGACAGAGAGAAAAGGTGCTGCAAGCAGCAAAACAAGAGTACTGGTGAAAACCTTTTCCTTTTGGAATATATAAAAAGAAAAAATGGGAGAAATAAATTTGTGCGCCATGTTCCCTCGCCAACAAGTGGCCGAAAACCTGAGTCAACCGACACCTTTGGTGCTCAACTGGTACCCTGTCTACCATGACCGACTCCTATGCAGGCATGGTCGCAACTCAGAGACATATCCATGCTTTTTCTAAGCAAGATTTTGTTCTTGCTATTAGGAAAGGACGACATTCCCATGCCTGAATGGACAAATGGAAATGGGTAGTTCCTGAAAGCATGCCCACTTTGCTAACAGGCATTTCCATGTGCAAAAAGCCTCTCTTTTCAGCTCTTCGTTTCAGAAATGGAAGGTTCTTGATTGAACACATGCGGGAGAAGTGGATAAACACTGAGTAACTGAACGAATGCGGAGCGGAAAGCCATCCTCTAGTCTAGCTGTCTGGCATCACCACCCATGGGTGCAGACAATGCTATTTGCACGCACACCACCCATTTCAGAGCCAAACCATGCAAGCAGATTGTGATGAACTTACCTTTGGGTTTCAGACAGACAGTATCCTCTGGCCTCCTCTCCGAGCTGCTCTGCTTTGCTTGGTTAGCAGGTTGGGTGGCTTGGCATCTGCAGTGCCCGCGGCTCGGGGAATTTATAGGCAGGCAGATGGAATCAGAATAGTTGAGTTGCGAGAGGCTGCGCCCACTTGCGCACAACTGTAGTCGTAAAAATGACCACCACCACCACCATGCCCATGCTCGGCTCCACACCGTTGGCTAGCGTATGGAGAAAAATATCAGCAGCATGTCTCGCTTTGCTACTAGTCTATGATATTGGTGGCGTTATTCTTATACATGCATGGAGCCATGGATTAGATACGATACGCCACACACAGCTGGTTCTCACTTCTCACGATGCACCCATTCATTCACGCGCCCATCCGTATCATTCGTGCCTGTGGACTCCGGGACTCTGTGTGTGTATAAACAAAATGAAAGATTCACAAATCTTGCGGTTAGTTTATGGGAGGAATCTCCAAAAGCCCGGCTCTGGAGAAGACGGGAGATATTCGAGGCCCATGAGTTGGTAGCGTATGGTCGAGGGACAGGTAGGCGGTGCCGGTGGAAAATTAAGCGGCGGCGAGATGCGGGATGGACCGAGCGACGGCCGCTTTTCCATGGTCTTTTCCGTGCAGTTGGTGGCGGGGGAGGGAGGGGTCGTCCGCCCTACCTCTCCGGCCGCCCGGCGTTTTTCTTCCATTGCCTTCCCTTTCCTCGGGCTGGTGTTGGCTGGTCAGTCGGTGGTGGGGTGGTCACTGCAGGTACGAGAGGAGCAGGGCATCCCGGAGGACGTGCCGACGTCTCGTCGGAACATTCCCTCCGCTAACTTGCCTGTCAAGAGTGGAATGTGGCCGTGAGAGCCTGAGGCCCAGGTGAGTTGCTTCCCAGGGCGAGAGTGTTCGGCACAGTCTCCCCTGGTCCTGGTGAATCTTCTCCCTCCGTTTCGCTGTTGCTCGTCTCGTCCCAAGCGTAAACCGCGGCCGGCGGGCGTCATGCATAATTGCGGTCGTTTTCATGCAGGGAAACGGTCCTGGGCTTTATTCGCGGGTGAAGCAAAAGTACTGACAGGCGCACGGGAATAAACCTATAGCTATGCTTAGGCCCTTTATATTAATCACACAGTTCAGATCTAACGACCAACGTCGCGTCTGAATAAGTAAATTCGACGAACAAGCAAGCAGGAATCTCTTCTCTGTCTGCATGCACTCGGGAGACAAACAATGCGAAAATTATGTAACTAGGCTAAGCTTTTACAGTTGGAGATTAGGCAAAGAGATTTATGCACGTACTGATTAAGACCAGACATGCTATATTGTAAGCACATAGCATCGCTTAGACGCATCTCTTTTTTTGCATTTCAGGTAATGGAGAACAAAGAAAATGCGAATTTCTGGCCTAGCGAATGCCCTAGATGGACACGTCCATTGCTGCAATTGTCTAATGCCCTTTTCAGGCTTTGACAGAACATTTAAAATTCCAGATATGATCTGATCTATTCCACATTTTCTATCTCTGGATGCATTATTTAAGGTATCTGTGCACAACACTTTGTCCCTTCAGGACTGTGCCCGATCTCTCTAAGTTCTAGACCGCTGATTCACTAATGTAAATTGTCATGTTTGAGTGAGCCCAGTTTATCTGCTCCCACCCAGAAACAGTAAATTCAGAAGAAGAAATAGCTCCTGAAACAATTTTTTAAAAACCTGAAATTTTTCGGCATCGAAGATGCTAAAGTGCATTAGGTGCATGCAAAATTCCATGATGAGCGGACATTTGAGTGGCTCAGTAGATTTACTTAGCAGTAAATCTTCACAAAGATCTGCATGCCTGCCACGTGGTGAAGCCGTTGTAGTGTTAATTGGGAGGAGGGATTTCAGCATAGTTTCTTGTTCTGTCGGTACACTCGGGATACCCTGGTTTTTATTATGCTGACAACAAGATATTATAATCAGTTTCAATTCTCATATTTGTTAATCTAAATACTAGTGTTTCATAATATCAAATCTCATTTAAAAGATTGCATCCAATTCTCGCAACAACATACAAGGTATCATCTCTAATATATGATACATTCCATCACAAGATGGGCCAGTACAATTTTCCAAAATTTATCAGTGCAACTTTTATTAACAGTAGATATAACATCAAACCTACCTAATTGCATAGAAGCAAACCATAATACATACCGGCATCTTTAACGTTAAGCTAGAGAGAGATAGGGGCATTTGAACTTGATTTTTGTAAGTCACACACATATCACTATAGAATTTCGGGTTCCGACAAAACCCTTAAGGTTCGAACACCGGGGTGCGCGTGAAGATCTCACCCTCATTGATCACGCCCTCAAACACTTCGCGATCTCTAGGCTAAGCACACGAACTCACAACACACGAGACACAAGATTTATACTGGTTCGGGCCACCGTTGTGGTGTAATACCCTACTCCAGTGTGGTGGTGGTGGATTGCCTCTTGGGCTGAGGATGAACAGTACAAGGGGAAGAACAGCCTCCTGCGGAGAGGTGTTCTTGTGCTTGGTGGACTTGGGGGTGGTAGGCCTTTCTCTCCCCGATTCGATGAGAGCGGGAAGGGAGTCAACAACGGCCAATTTGAAAGGGGACAGCTAGTACAGCTTATCCTGACAAAAGTAGTCTTCGCCTGCCAAAGGCTCTGGTGGTCACTAGTAGAAAACAGGGCTTTGGTCACGAGGCAATATTCACATTAGTCCCGGTTCAGTCACGAACCGGGACTAATGTGAGCATTGGTCCCGGTTCGTGCGGCTAAGCCTTTAGTCCCGGTTCACCTAAGCCCTTTAGTCCCGGTTTGAGACACGAACCGAGACTAAAGGGTGCGATGCTCTTTAGTCCCGGTTTGTGTCCCAAACCGAGATTAAAGATTAGACCTTTAGTCCCGGTTTGAGACACGAACCGGGACTAAAGGGTGCGATGTCCTTTAGTC